AACCGTTCAGTTTGTCAACAATAAAACTGAAATGAGAGAAAGACTGAGTGTGAGACTTTGATATTAGATAAAATGAATATTGATAAAGTTTACATTTATGTACAGAATCTGAATATTGCAAAATATTTTAAAAAATTGCAATAATATCGTATCGTGCGTTAAGTATTGTGATAATATTGTATCATGGGATGTATGGTGATTCCCACCTCTACTTCCCACTACCTAAACTGACTTAATTCACCTCATAAGATGTTGAGCAAAATTTTGTCACAAAAACAGAACCCACACTTTGTTAACACTTTAATTAGTTCACAAGACTGTCCGGAAATTAGATGTTTTGTTATGTCTGCCACAAAAACAGCTTAAATATTCTTATTCATTACAGTTTCTCCAAGTAAGGCTATGGATGTACGTGCGTCTCTGTCACACCTGCCAGATATTTTACAGATAACTAAGTCTCACGTCGATGTTGATCTCAGAGACTTCCTGTAAAATGAGTAAGCAAAGGTATTTGTCTTGAGAACAAATTTCAGCACTGCAGGTCAAGTGGCTTCAACAATAGTCACATTTAGCATAATATTTTAGTCACAGTATAATGTACTCTCGAAACCAGCCTGCCATAATTATTTGGTTCATCCTGTTCAAACGGTTGAACCACCTGAGGGCGTAATGATTAACCAGGTCTTGTTAACTACACAATAGAAGAGTACTGAAACTATCAAGGGTGTGGCAAAACACAACAGATAATTGTAGAATGACGGCAGGCTGAAGACGTTTTGTCCGGTCACGTCAATCGTGACATCACCAGCAGCAGTATGTACCAGGACAAAGGAGTGGCTCAAGTATGACAGCAACCATAGCAGGACATTTTTCTACGTATACTTTGTTACTATGCTACAAAACTTTTTGACATCCTATTAAGTGACACATGGAACTAAACCACTTGGCTGCTTATGCTGCTGCTGCCCTTACTAACCCACTGATCCGCACACTGAACTGAGCCCCTCCTACCCACTGGCACACTTGAACAGAACAGTCTTTCTCTACAAGTGTTCAAAACACTTCATTAGAGCAAAACACAAAGGCAGCGCAGTCCATTACCATATCCATCAAACGGCAAATCAATCTGGTATTATATAACTGATTCTTCATAAAGAACATGTGGAGCAATAATTCATGGGATAGTTGGTTTATACAAGTGCTGATTAGGACTGGCAACGAGCCAGGGAGAGGCTTCAGCCATGACCCAGTTCTGGTAACAACAGACTCACAGCTCCTGCTCGGTATCATTTAATGATGACATGAATAATGCCAAGTATTTTCCCTAAATGACTCTTCACTCTGAATCCATTCCAAGTGTGCATACTGCTGTCAAACAGTGTGTTCTTGTTTCAATTCAAAGACATGCATTTATTTCAGGGGAACTACTGCATGAGTAAATATTTGTTTATGGCTTCATCTCATTTGTCGTTTTCCAATACAAAACTCTACTGAGGAAATTTAAGTGTGCCTCCAAGTCAGCTGAGCTTGTCTGGTTTGTGAACCAGGACACATGTTGTCAATTTGTGTCTGTGGTCTGGCTGAAGGACACCCTCAGGCCAGATGCTACGTCAATCCTCTCACTGGCCAAGGAGGATAAGGAGAAGAAACATGCCTATTCGGCTTTTTGTTCTGCCATCTTTCCATTCTGCAGCCCAAACAGTCGGACACCAGCCAGCTGGAGGTGAAACGGTGGAAGGCTAGGACGGAAGCCCCGAACCACAACAGCTCCCTGGAGCATCCGCTGGAGCCGGTGAGGCCTTGTAAATCATTACACTCATTTTCACCCAAGAGTGAGAGAGGAGCTCAAAAATGGAGGCAAAGACCGACTCGACTTCACTTAGTTAAAATTTGACCCAAAGTTTCCAAATTGCAAATCTCTTCAGCATGAC